TTGGTGGTGTGGCCCCAAAGCCTCCCCTCTCCCCCAAAAAAGATGACACCCTGTTCTGTGAAATTTGTTATCAAAACTGAATCAAGAAATCATGTTCTTGGGGCTGGAGCGATAGCACAGTGGGTAGGGCGTTTGCCTTGCACGCGGCCGACCCGGGTTTAATTCCCAGCATATGGTACCCTGAGCGCCTCCAGGAGTAATTCTGCATATTGCCAGGTGTGACCCCAAAAAACAAGAGAAATCATGTTCTTTCGGGAATGTTCACATGGAAAAGACTTGGCCTAGAGTGATAGGACAGTGGGAGAATGCTCTGGCCTCTCGTGTGCTCAACCCGGATTTGCCTGCATGTGCTGGATCCGGATTCGAGCCCCGGCATCCCATATGGTCTCCAACCCCCCCAGGAGTGATTCGTGAGTGTAGAGCCAGGAGTAAGCCCTCAGCATTGCCGAGTGTGTGCCAAAAACAAAACAGAAAAGCCTGAGATCTCTGCAGAACCACCTGACTAACCAAACTGTAAGTGAAGAGAAAAAATAGAATTGGTAAGTGCGAATGTAGGGGGAAAAAAAGTGAAATTGGCTTCACTAAAGAGAATGGGGAGAAACATTAATTTGACTTTAGTGTTGTCATTTAAAAGCTCAATATCAAAATATTCTTCCCCCCCCACGCCCCTGACTATCAAAATAGTCTTTAGGTCTCAGTAGTAGAACATTTGTTTGGTTTTCTTTGGGAGTCACACCCAGCGGTGCTCCTGGCTCTGTGCTCAGGGGTCACTTTCGGCAAGACTCAGGACCTTCCAGAGTATCCGGGGTCAAACTCGGGTTGGCTATGTGCAAGGTAAGTGCCCTTGTGTTTGGAGCAGTGCCAAAGGCGTGTCACTGTCTTCGTCCCATACTCACCCAGGCTGGTGTACCCCGCCCTCGCAAGCTGGTGCACCCCAACCTTATCCGGGGCTCTCAGGCTGGCACCCTCTCAAGGCCTGCTATTAGGCTCAGGACTGTTCTTAGCCCCCCTGAACTGGCAGTGTCCGGTAGAGGCGGGGCTGGGGGGGGTGCCTTCCTTGGCTGGAGGGCGCCCCCTGCTGGAATATTTCGGGACTGGCTTCTCAGAAACATCTAGGTGTGGAGGGGGAAGGGAGGGTGTAGCTGCAGATCGCGGGGGTTAGGAGCCAGCTTTGGGTTGATCCTCCCCCAGTGGTGGGACCAGACCCACAGCCTGTCCTCCTGTCCCCATAGTCACCAGTTCTGAAATGTTGGGGGGGGGCAGGCAGGACTCTTCGAGAAAGAGGACTGGGGGCTGCTGGAGCAGGGCAGGGGTGCCCTTTGGAGAGATCTGCCTGCAGGGTGCCGTGGACACAGCTGGTCCACTGGGGAGCAGGCAGGGCCACTGACCATAGTGTCCTCCCCATGGGCCTCTCTGAGCAGGACTCTGTGCCCCAAGTTCTGCCTTTGGCCGAGGACACTGCAGCGAGGAAGACGGGCAGGGCCCCGGCTCGAGCCCTGAATTCTGGTGGGGCGAGAGTCAGGATGCACCTGTACTGCAGCAGCGAGGTCAGGGCCAGTAAAGCGAGAGGCGTAAGGTTCCGCTGGGAGGTGCAACAGACAGAGAGAAGTCAGTGTCTGGACCAGGATGTTAGCAGTGGAGGAGGGAGGGAGGGAGCGGATTGGGGAAGCATTTAAGTTAGCAGAGCTGGCAGAGGGGCTGTGAGGGGAGTGGGAATGAGGGAGCAGGGAGCAGGATCTGAGTATTAACGGTGCAGTTGACTGGGCTGGAAGGACTCTCGTGCGGGCAGCACGAATTAAAGGACATTTTATTTTATTTTATTTGCTTTTTGGGTCACACTCAGTGATGCACAGGGGTTCCTCCTGGCTCTGCACTCAGGAATTACCCCTGGCGGTGCTCAGGGGGAACCATATGGGATGCTGGGAATCGAACCCCTGTCGGCTGCGTGCAACGCAAACGCCCTACCTGCTGTGCTACTGCTCCAGCCCCTTAAAGGCCCCTTTAGACCATGGAATATTGGCGATGCCAATCAGGTGTCCAAATGGAGTCAAGCTGGGCAGTGAGCAAGCTGGTCCACCTTTGGGCACTCACTGGCATGCTAGTGTTTTCCAGGGGCTCACTGATGCATCAGTAATTATTTTTTGGTTTTGGGGCCACACCTGGCGATGCTCAGGGGTTACTCAGGGATCACTTGGAAATTATTCCTGGTGGGATGCCGGGGATCCCTTGCAAGACAGGCACCCCACTTGGTGTACTAAGGCTCCAGTCTCAATAAGACTCAGGCCATTCTAAAACAATGCCAGGCCCCAGGGCCCCAAATTCTAGAGACCAGTTTCTTTTCTTTCTTTCTTTCTTTTTTTTTTTGATGGGTGGGTAGCATCAGTCAGTAGTACTCACCGTTTACTCCTGGCGGTGCTCAGGGGACCAAGAGGGGTGCCAGGGATCAAACCCAGGTCGGCTGCGTGTAAAGCAAACGCCCTCCCCACTGTGCTGAGCCTGACCTTCTTTGTTTTGTTTTGTTTTGTTTGCTTTTTGGGTCACACCCGGCGGTGCACAGGGGTCACTCCTGGCTCATGCACTCAGGAATTACTCCTGGCGGTGCTCAGGGGACCATATGGGATGCTGGGAATCGAACCTGGGTCGGCCGCAAACGCCCTACCCACTGTACTATCACTGGTGCAAGGCAAACGCCCTACCCACTGTACTATCACTCCAGCCCTCAGCCCCTGACCCTCTAGATGCTGACTGCCCAGTGCCTCTGGCGGTATTGTCCTCTTTGGACAACAAATATCTGCAAGAGGTTTCAGTGGTTCTGAACTTGTATGTGGACTTACTACTGACATCTAGTGGCCAAAGCAGGAACTTCAGGACAAGGTCAGCACCCAACAGAGAAAGTTCCAGGGTCTGAAGTTGAAGCACCAAGAGAGGGAGTGCAGAGGCAAAGAGGGTGACAATGCCCAAGGACACTCTCTTTTTTTTGCTCTTTGAAGACACATCCAGCGGTGCATGGGGCAATATGTGCCATGCATGCCCGGGATTGAATCTGGGCACCTCGTGTGCAAAGCATGGGCTAGAGTGAGCAGGAAGAGTTGGAGAAGTGGGGCGGGGTACACTGGGGTGTGAGGCTTCCTGGTGCAGGGAGAGGATTTGGGGAGTGAAAGCTGACGGGGGCGGACTGTGCCAAGTGGCCCCGGGAGTGGAGCCCACAAGGAAGTGACCGACATATCTGGCCAAGAGGCGCTGCCAGCAGCCTTGACAAAAGCAGTTTCTGTGATCTGCTGGGGCGGGAAATATTGGGGCTCAAGCAGTTAACAAGCACCCAGCTGCTCCTCCACGCTCCACTGTCTCTGCAGTTCCCTTGACCCGGCATGTAGCCGGGTTCTTTGCCACACCCGGCAGTGCTCAGGACTGACTCCTGACTCTGGTTCAGGGATCCCTCCTGATGGTTTCAAGGGATCAAATGTGGTGTGGAATATTGAATCTGTGTGGAACAGCGAACCTGCGTCGGCCGTGTGCAGGATCTGTTTCTTGTTTTGCAGAAGTCCCGACCCTGTTTGACAGAGGCTAGAATTTGCCAGGGCTCAGAAAAGCTCATTCCTCCTCGAGTTCAGGCTGAGCTGAGCCTCTAGAGCCATCATCATTGTGCACAGGAAGAAGGGGCTGGGTCAAGCCCACACTTTTGAGAAATCGGGCTTTTGAGAAATCAGGCTTCTGAGAAGGGCAGAGGCCCATAGAAGGAGCCAGGTTCGGGGGTGGAGCGATAGTACAGCGAGGAAGGCATTTGCCTTGCTTGTAGCTGACCTGGGTTCTATCCCCGGCACCCCATAGGGTTCCCATGATTCCTGAGTGCAGAGCCAGGAGTAAGCCCTGAGCATCACCAAGTGTAGCTAAAAAAAAAAAAAAAAAAAGAGCCAGGTGGGTTCTAGAGGCTGAACCGGAAGTCCTGAGGAGGGCAGAAGGCTCCAGAGCCTGGAAAGGGCAGTGAGGTGGGCTTGGCTGGGAAATGGTCTGTGAAAAATAGTGACCTCTGGACTCAACTTCTCCCCCAGCATCCCTGCTGACCTTCGAAGGCCCGCTGGGCTCTCCTGCAGTGTCCACCTGTAGGACTGCCACTGAGGCCCTGCCCTTGCCTCTCAGTGTCTTTGAGGTTGGCCCCAGGAGCCTTTGTCAGCCAGACCCCGGGTCCAGTGGCCAGTGTGGTCAGTGCACATCAGAATCTCTACCTGCTGCTGACCTGACCATCTTGGACAAGATTCAGGAGCCTTGACGGGAGCCTTTGGCAACCTCCCAGAATGGCCACACCCGGCTCCTTCCTTGGAGGCTTCTGGTGTTGCTTCCTGTCCATCTCAGTAAGGCCAGTGGACACATGGAGTCCCACAATGCTTACCAGGGGACCCCGGCTGCCTCAGCCTTCCTGGTTTCCCTATGTGTCTGCTCCACTCCTCTGCATGCATTCTACTGTGTATTTTTCTATTTATTTTTAGACCACACCAGTGATGCTCAGGGGTTACTCCTGGCTCTGCACTCAGGAATTATTCCTGGTGGTGCTCAGGGGACCCTATGGGATGCTGGGGATCGAACCCAGGTTGGCTGCATGCAAGGCAAACCCCTTACCGGTTGAACTATTTCTCTGGCTCCCATGTTTTATGTTTTGTTTTTGTTTTGGGGGAAGCCATACCTGGGAGTGTAATGTACAGGGGTAACTCCTGGCTCTGTGCTCAGGAATTATTCCTGGTGATGCTTGGGGGACCATGTGGGATGCTGGGGATCAAACCTGGGTTGGTCGTGTGCAAGGCAAATGCCCTCCCCGCTGTACTATTGCTCCAGCTATGCTGTGTTTTCTGTGTTTTTTTTTCCCTGAAGCATTCCTGATCACTTACATGCTGATTTTCATCTTGATTTGAAGGTACTTCTAAGAATTTAAGTGACCCTCTGGAGGGCATCTGTCTGAAGCAGGAGAGCTGGGCTAGGCTGGTGTGTCTTCACTTCTTCCCCGGAGGATGGCGGGTTTGGTACTGTGTGAGCCAAAAGAGCTTTACAACATCTTGAACCAAGTGACAAAACTTTCCAGATTAACTGAACCCAACTACCTTTGTCTGCTGGGTAAGTCCCTTCAGAAGCATAGGGTGACAACAGTGTCCTGACATCAGGCGAGGAGGAAAATGAGTTGATTGATGGCAGGGACGGAAACCAGGACCTCAGACACCCAAGAAAGGCGCTCCACTGAGCAACAACCCTGGCCCACAGACTTTTCTTTTGTTCTGATAAAATAACAAACTTCCCGGGCTGGGGAAAACAAGCCACTTAAGAAAACTGTTGGGCTTGGGAGACAAAACTCAAAATGCCACTGCTAATGGAGCAGTCTTGGAAACCATCCCAGAATAAGCATAGAAATCCCCGAAAGATCACCAGTGAGTCTGTTCCGGAAACTGTTCCTGAAACTCTTTTCAGTGAAAGTGTTTGGATCCTGGCTGTAGTAACACTAATAAACACTATGTATCCAGCACTTAACACAGGAACCCAAATGTTGCACATTCAGAGCCTGAGCATGGCCTCTGCTGCACTTCCTCACACCCACGTGGCACTTTCACCTTCCTGGATTCCATTCACATTTAGGGTACAGCCAGGAGAGGGTTGCCACGCACTCCCAGCCAACCCAGTTCAATGCCCAGTATCCTAGATGACCGTTTGAGCATCAACAGTCAGCTGGGGCCCCAAGACAAAAAAAAAAAACACCAAAACTATATTTGAGTTTCTTCTTTTGCAAAAAGATCTAGTTTAGGGGCTGGAGCGATAGCATAGGGGGTAGGGCGTTTGCCTTGCATGTGGCCGACCCAGGTTCGATTCCCAGCATCCCATATGGTCCCCCGAGCACTGCCAGGAGTAATTTCTGGGTGAAGAGCCAGGAGTAATCCCTGTGCATCGCCAGGTGTGGCCCAAAAAGCAAAAAAAAAAAAAAAAAATCTAGTTAATTTGTTTATTTTTATTTTTCCTTCCTTGCTTTATTTTTTTTCTTCCTTTTGTTTTTGCCCCACCCCCACCCCCAATGAGAATTATCTCCCCAGCAACAGTGGGAACCCCTAGGAAAAGTGAGAATAATCTTCCCCAGGAACAATGAGACCCGCAAACCGAAAGCCCCCAGCAGGAATCCAGAAACAGTGAATTTCTCCCTATGAGACCCTCATCCTCCCCCCCATCCCCCACAGTGACTCAGGTGCCTGCGTTTTGCTTCCTCAGTGCTCAGGGGTGTCACTCTGGGATCTCTTTCTTTCTCTCTCTCTCTCTCTCTCTCTCTCTCTCTCTCTCTCTCTCTCTCTCTGTGTGTTTTGGGTCACACCTGGCAATGCTCAGGGATTACTCCTGGCTCTGCACTCAGGAATCATTCCTGACGGTGCTCAGGGGATCATAAGGGATTTCTGAGCATTCCGATGGGTGTGTGTGTCTCATTGTAACTGTGGTTTCCTGTGGACATACTTGATGTTGAACCTCTTTCATGTGCTTTTGGTCATGTGTATGTCTTCCATAAGGTGTGTGTTCATGCTGTTCCTTATACAGTAATGGAGTGATAAGAGTCTTTCTACATGTGTCTGCACTTTTTTGTAGGTTGTGGTGGTGCAAGAGATTGAACTCAAGAACCTCACACCTGCAGAACCACATACATCCCTGATCCTTTCATTTATTTATTTATTTAATTTACTTTTGCTTTCCAGGCTGTGGTCAGGGAGTCTGGGGGCCAGTCCCAGAGAACTTGTTTGTTTGTTTGTTCTTTTTTGCTTTTTGGGTCACACCCAGCGATGCTCAGAGATTACTCCTGGCTCTGCATTCAGGAATTACTCCTGGTAGTGCTTGGGACCATATGGGATGCTGGGGATCAAACCCAGGTTGGCCGCGTGCAAAGCAAACGCCTTCCCCGCTGTACTATTGCTCCAGCCCAGTCCCAGAGAACTTGTACATTTGGTTTGAGCCTGGGCCCCAGGGTGCCGTGTTCCTCAGCTCCTGCAGTGCCGGGGACCTGGACCTGGGGGTGTCATCTCCACAGTTGTAGCCTGCAGTGTTCAGAATCCTGTGGTGATGGGCTTTGGATGGGAATGGGGGTCTCAGCATATGCAAAGCCCACACCCCTCCCTGTTGTGCAATCTCCTCCTCGGACCCTGGGCCCTGCAGGCTGCATCCTGATCCCCTCTGGGTTCAGGCAGAGGGGATCGTGTCAGTTTCTTATTCAATCGAGTCTGAGGAGTCTCGATCCCTCACCCATTCATTCTGGCTGGAAATGAGGCCCTCGGCTTGCACATTTCAGAGTCTGAATTTGTGTCTAAAACTCCCACAGGATTGGGACTGGAGCAATAGTACAGCGGGAAGTGAGTTTGCCTTGCATGCGGCCGACCCGAGTTCGATCTCCAGCATCCCATATGGTCTTCCTGAGCACTGCCAGGAGTGATTTCTGAGTGCAAAGCCAGGAGCAACCCCTGAGCATCGCCGTATGTCACCCAAAAAGAAAAAAAAAAAAACCAACTCCCGCAGGACTGAATATGTCCTTGCTCTCACCTTTCTCTCCTTCCTGCCTTTATTTTATTTAATTTTGGTTTCAGTGCTGCACCCAGCCCAACTGTGCTCAGGGCTAACTCCTGGCTCTGCACTCAGGGCTCACTGCTGCTGGGGTTTGGGTGCTGGGAATAGAATCCGGGCTGGCTATTTTTCAAGCAGGCACCCTACCTGCTAGACTATCTCTCCAGCCCAGTCCCTCCCTGTCTTTTTGGATCTCAGAAAACTCCCCCAGGGACCTGAGAGTACAGTGGATAGGGGGCTTGCCTTGCATGGGGTGGACCCAGATTTGATCCCTCGTATCGGCCATGGTCCTCTGAGCCTGCCAGGAATAATTCCTGAGTGCAGAGTCAGAAATTACCCCTGAGCACTGCTGGGCATGTCCCAAAAATTAAAAGAAAAAGAAAGAAAAGAATACTTGCCCAAATCAAAGGTACCAACTCTAAGCAGATGTCATTTCTGGAACCTTCCCTGACTGAGACCAAACACTTCCCTTCACCAAACACTTTCCCTTGCAGATGTGCGTCCCAAGCAGGACTATGACGAAAGTCACGTGATCACCGCCCACCGTGTGAAGAAGGTAGAGTCTGAGTCTGCTGTGAAGCAGGCCAGCCCCCCATGCACCCTGCGGGACCTCCCCAGATTCCTGAAGGGCTCCCATCCCTCTGTGCCACCCCAGAGTCAATACCTTTATTAAGAAGACATCAGGGGGGCTGGAGCGATAGCACAGCGGGTATGGCATTTGCCTTGCATGCAGCCGACTCAGGTTCCTGAGCACTGCCAGGAGTAATTCCTGAGTGCAGAGCCAGGAGTAACCCCTGTGCATCTCCAGATGTGACCCAAAAAGAAAAAAGAAGAAGAAGAAGAAGAAGAAGAAGAAGAAGAAGAAGAAGAAGAAGAAGAAGAAGAAGAAGAAGAAGACGACATCAGGGCTGAAATGATAGGACAGTGGCAAGGGCACTTGCCTGGGGCACTTGCCCCAGGCTTGATCCCTGGCATCCCATATGGTCCCCTGAGTCCTCCACAGCCCTCCCCGCCCCCATAATTCCTGAGTGCAGAGCCAGGAGTAACCTCTGAGCACTTCCAGGTGCTGCTCCCAAACAAACCAGAAAAACATCAGAGCCAATGATAGTACAAAGGTAGGGTTCTTGTGGGTGTGGCTAATCTGTGTTTTATCCCAGAATCTCTGAGCCCGCTAGTAGTGATCCCTGAGCAAAGAGCCAGGAGTAAGCCCTGAAAACTGTCAGATGTAGCCCCCAAATTCAACGCACCCCTCCCCCTCCCCCCCATAAAAACCCCATCTGCTTAATTTTTAATTCTGGGTCCTGAGGCTCTTGGTTCATTCGTTGTCTCTGCACACTCCCCTTCCCCCCTCGCCCTTGCCAGCCCAGAGAAGGAAGGGCACTCATGTTTGCATGATAAAAACTGCCCTTTTGAGGGACTGGAGCAATAGCACAGCATGTAGGGCATTTGCCTTGCACGGGGCAGACCCGGGGTTTGATACCCAGCATCCCATATGGTCCCCTGAGCACCGCCAAGAGTAATTCCTGAGTGCAGAGCCAGAAATAACCCCTGTGCAATGCCGGTGTGAGCCAAAAAGCAAAAAAATACAAAACAAATAAACAAAAAAAAAAAGACTGCCCTTTTGAGAGTGTGTGTGGAGATCAGATATGCAGGGTGGATGTTCTCTGGCCAAGCTACAACCCGCCAGCCTTCAGCTCTGCCTCCAAAATGGAAGAGCCGCCAGGTCAGATGCCTGCGCTGACCCTGAGGCCCTGGGGTTCCGGGCACCATTCTCACTGACCCCCTCTGTGGGGGCCTCTCCAACGTCCAGTCCACCCCGTCCAGCCCTGGTGGCGTCAGGCTCAGGGTCCCCGGGGAACAAGGGAAGACAGAGTAACCCCACCCAGAGACCTCAGGATGAGCCCATCCTCCCCCCTTGGGGGCCACTCCCAGGCTCCACCTGCGGGGTCTGACAGCTCCTGTTGGCCCATTTGTTCCTTTACCCGAGTTCTGACCTGTCCTGATATGGGCACTGATCTTTTTTTTTTTTTTCTTTTTGGGTCATACCCAGCAATGCACAGGGGTTGCTCCTGGCTCTGCACTCAGGAATCACTCCTGGCGGTGCTCGGGGAATCATATGGGATGCTGGGAATCGAACCCGGGTCTGCCGCGTGCAAGGCAAATGCCCTACCCGCTGTACTATCGCTCTAGCCTCTAGGGACATTGATCTTGAAGCCTGGGGTCCATTAGTGAGGTAAAGCCGGACCCAAGTTGGTGGTTTCCGGTCCCTCTCCTTACCGGCCTCTTTACAGGCCAGTTGGATCCGGCGCCGCCACCAGAGGGCGCTGTTCTGATGCTCTGTGCCACATCCAGCAAGGCCACTGTGTCCCGGCCGGTTGAGGCCAGGCTGCGCGGGATGCGAGGCTGGACTCCTTAGGTGCCCAGGTGGCCAGTGTCTGCCCGTGCTGCGGTGTCTGGGGGGGGGCGGGGTCCCTTCCACTCAGCTGCCTGCCCGCCAACAGCCGCTCGTGTGGTCTCTCTAGAAGGCCGGTCAGTACGTCCTCCCCGAGTCGGTGGATCTGGAGTGTGTGCGCTACTGTGTCGTGTACGACAGCAACACCTTCACCCTGGACGCGACCCTGAAAGTCCAGGACGAAAACTCTGAGGACTTGGAAAGCGAAGATGACGGTGGGTTTCCACCAGGGCGAGGACAAGGGTCAGCGACTGAAGGTCTTGGCCCGGGTCACAGCTGTACCCAATGCTCCCTCCGCTAGGCATGTGCAGAGTCCTCTCCTCTGCATTGGGAGGGCGGACTGGCAGGGGCTGAACCAGGCCCTTCCTTGCAAGGTGGCATTTGCCTGCCATGATGCCGTGGGCGCAGGCGGGAGAGGGAGGATTTGCTCTCACAGCGCAGCTGAGACACCAGCTCCTGGTTCCTACCATGGGACCTCACGTCTGGGTGCTCACGGGAACCCTTGTGAACAGCTATTTTTTTTTTTTAATTTTTCTGTTACACCCGGACACCCGGCAATGCACAGGAGTTACTCCTGGCGGTGCTCAGGGGACCATATGGGATGCTGGGAATGGAACTGGGTCAGTCATGTGCAAGGCAAGCGCTCTACCCACTGTGCCATCACTCTGGCCCCTGGGTTTTAGTTATTTAAAAAAAAAATTGTGTTTATTTTTTTTTGTGGGCCACACCTGGTGCTGGGGATAGAACCCTAGTTGGCGGCATGCAAACTAGCGTCCTTCCCGCTGTACTGTCTCTCTGGCCCCTGGGTTTTGTTTTAGGGGAACTCCAAACTCCAAACACCCGAACTGTTGATAATGGACTGAAAGCCTGCCTGCCTCAGCTCTGGGGGTTCAATCTCTCACCCCAGTTTGTTCCGTAAATATCCCAGAAAAGCCAACGCTCTGTGCAAAAAAACACACAGCAAAATGAGACCCTAGAATTGATCTCGTAAAATGGGCACCTCCATTTTTCGGGGGCTGGGAAAGGTGGGGTGACTGTGAGGGCCCTAGTAAATTCTCTGCTGCCCTGTAAAAAGTCATCCTCACACTCCATGGCCTGCCATAGCAGACATTGCTTATCTCAGCTTCTGTGGGGTCTGGAATTAAGAAGTTGCTTAGCTCGGGGCTTCCGGTGCAGTTCCCCCTCAAGCCCCCAAGACTGGAGTCTTGATCTCATCAGCCGTGGGAGCTCTGGTTAGGAGGGCAGGGTCTGCAGGGCTGGGCGTGGTCTTACCGGATGGGCGTGGTCTTGCCCGCTGGGCGTGGTCTTACGATGGGCGTGGTCTGCAGTCACTCCCTTTGGTCTCTGTCCAGAGGTCTCTGCTTCTGTTAGGCTCTGACAGGAGGACCCAGTTCCTCACCCCAGGGACCTCTAGTGTGATGTGGTTTCCCCAGAGGCAGAGAGAGACAGAGACAGAGAGATAAAGACAGAGACTAGACAGAGACAGACAGAGGGACAGAAACAGAGATAGAGACACACACAGAGACAGACAGTGACAGAGACACGCAGAGACAGAGAGAGACACACACACAGAGAGACAAACAGAGATACACACAGAGAGACAGAGACAACCCCTGCTACTCTGGGGGCTCAGCACAGTACCCCAGGCCACACAAGCCAGAGTCTGCACTTGAGCTGCAACTTGGTGATGGTTGAGCTGGGCGGTGGGCAGGGGCAGGGCCCACTGGCGCGGACTCCTCAGTCCTGAGCCAGACATTAAGCTCGGCAGTTCCCACCCACCTCGTAGAGGCCCCAGCAGCCTGGGGGCTGCGGCTGACCCCACCTGGGCGTCTGGGTATTGGGGCGTTTATGCCAGCAGCCTCTGGGGGCGCCAGGCGTCCACCTGTCATAAAACTACACTGGCCCGAGCTGCTCCGCAGGGGAACCTTTGTGTCTGTATTTCCCTCTCTGCCCGCAATCCTCCAGGCTGGTTCTGTAGCTCAGCTGTGCCCCACAAAGAAATTGTCCGCGATCTGTTGCTGACCGCACGATGCTGAGGAGCTCGTCCATGGGGCAGGAGGACGCAGCCACAGCGCATGGAACAGCATATGGAATGCACGTTTACAAAGGGCCCCTCTCCGTGGGGAAGAGCATGACAGAGCCCCCCACTTCCTTCTTCTCTGTTCCTCTGTTACCCAGGGCGACCTGGGTGTAGGCAGCCTTTGCCACAGTTCAGAACAGGTGCTTTCCTGCCGGCATCCTGGTGTGGAGGCTTCCCAGCCTCTGACCTCTGACCTTGACGCCCCCACCCCACTGTGGGGGGAGTGTTCAGGAGCCTCATGAAAGTGGGAGCACGGTTTTCACCCCTCCCCAGGGGTTGTTTCTGCCCTGGCTCCCTGCTTCCGAACCTTAGGGAGCCCCGTCTGCTCTCTGCCTTGGACTCTGTTAGCACCACACCCACTTCCTGTCATCGTCCTTTACCGCGGCCCACAGCCAGGGGGCTGGGAGTCCCTGACGGACATCCAGGGCCACTGTGAAAAGATGCTGGGGGCGTTTGGGAGTTTCCTTTGCTCAAGGAAGTCAGATCCCCTGGACAATGGTCTGGCTAAAGACCAAGGTGACCTAGAGAGCTCAGCTGAGCGGTGCTCCTCTCATTCTGGGTGGTGTCCACTCACCCGAAGGAGTGGAAACCCAAGGTCCATATGGCCCCCTGAGCACCACTGGAGGGGGACCCAGTGCCCGTGGGAGGGGTGTCCAAGCACTGAACTGGCACAACCAGGCAGAATCTTGCAAGGAGCAGCCCTGGCTTGCATGTCCACGTGTCTTTGGGGCCCTGGTGGTAAGGGGCTGCCTGTTACCTGTTGCGGGAGGCTGACCCCATCCAGTCCTGGTTCATGACGTTCTGCTAGATACTCACTGTTCCCTGGAAATAAGCCACTGCTAGGTCTGGGGACACAAGCAGGGAGTGGCCAACTAGTTTCCAGCCCAGAACTCCCTCCTGTGTCCCCCACTGCCCCCAGGTCTCTGATCCACAGCGAGTCACCACTGTTGCTCAGGAGGGAGCTGGTGGCTATGAGAGCTTCTGGGTCAGGCCCCAGGTGACCTGGCCTCTGGCTCCAGGGTCTTCTCCCCAGGGTAGACCCTCCAGATCCTCCACAGAGATCCACTGCGTGTCCTCAGCAGACCCTGTGGACAGGCCGCCTCTTCCTGGCCAGGGCTTCAGCATCAGAACCAGGGCCCACGCCCTTCCTTGCTCCTGCGTCCATGCAGTTAAGTTTTCTCAGCCTTCCTGGCTCAGCCTGAGGAAGCTTCCAGTTACTTGTTCTGCACACAGGCTGACTGGAGGGATTTTACAGCTCTATAAAGACATTGAAGATCAAACTTTACGTGAAAACCACAATGAGCTGTCACTTTCCTTTCACCGGGACAGCCAGCACAGAAAAGGGGCTGGAGCGACAGTGTGGAGGGAAGGGACAGCGTTGTCTTCTATGCAGCCAACCCAGGTTGGATCCCTGGTATCCCATAGGGTTCCCCACCCCCACCCCCGAGCAGACAGGAGTGATTCCAGAGTGTGCACCGAGGAGTAAGCCCTGAGCATCACTGGGTGTGACCCCAAACCCTTCCCACACACAAAAAAAAATAAGGAGATGGGGAGTGAGAACTGAAAGAGCAGGGCATTGACTAAGGCGCTGGTGAGGCAAGTCCGCATGTCGCAGTCCTGAGTTCCGCCCCCAGCACCAGGTATGGTTCCTCCGAGCCCTGCCAGGTGTGACCTTGTGCACAGAGCCAGGAGTCAGCCAGGGGCATACTCACTCGATGCTGGTCAGGACTGAGTCGCTTCTTTGCTGTGGAAGACAGCTGGAGCATTAGACAGACCTTAGCAACTGCAGTGAAATACCTGCAGGCGAAGAGGCCGCGTGTTTGTAGGATCCTGCAGGTGCACGTGCTCAGCACATGTTCTCACTCCTGGATTTACTCAGGAATTACTCCTGGTAGGCTCGGGACATACAGGATGTCAGGGATCGAACCCAGCCAACAGCATGCAAGCCAAATGGCCTCCCCCCAGACTATTGCTCTGGCTCTGCTTTTTTTATTTGCAGGGGAGGGGTGGAGACACACCCAGCAGTGCTCAGGTCCAACTCCTGGGTCTGCACTCAGGGATCCCTCCTGGGAGTGCTGGGGAACCCTATGGGGTCTCAGGAATTGAATCCGGGTCAGCCACATACAAGGCAAACACCATTCCCGCTGTGCCATTGCTCTAACCTCTGCATTACTTTTTTCTTTCTTTCTTTCTTGACTTATTTTGCTTTTTCAGTCACACCTGGAGATGCTCAGGGGTTACTCCTGGTTCTGCACTCAGGAATTACTCTTGGCAGTTCTGGGGGACTCTATGGGATGCCGGGATCGAACCCCGGTCAGCTGCGTGCAAGGCAAACGCCCATCTTGCTGTAAGCTGTACTATCCCTCCGGCTCCCAATGCGTTACTTATCAAATGTTACTTTCATACATCATAAGACACTTCCTACCCATTTTCCATAATTACTACACCATATTTGATGGGGTTCAGACAGTAGGCAAAAAATCATAGAGGGAAATATATATATATATATATATATATATATATATGAGCTGGAGCAATAGAGCAGTGGGTAGGACGTTTGCCTTGCAAGCGGCCAACATGGCCAACCCGAGTTCGATTCCTCTGCCCCTCTCGGAGAGCCTGGCAAGCTACCAAGAGTATCTCGCCCGCACGGCAAAGCCTGGCAAGCTATCCGTGATGTATTCGATATGCCAAACACAGTAACAATTGTCACAATGGTGACGTTACTGGGCCTGCTTGAGCAAATCAATGAAGAACGGGAGGACAGTGACAGTAATATATATATATATATATATATATATATATATATATATATGAGGACTGGAGTGATAGCACAGTAGTAGGGCATTTGCCTTGCGTGCAGCCAGCCCGGCCGAGCTGGGTTCGATTCCTCCGCCCCTCTCGGAGAGCCTGGCAAGCTACCAGAGTATTCAATATGCCAAACACAATAACAAAAAGTGTATATATGCCCCTCGAAGAGCCCAGCAAGCTACTGAGTATCCTGCCTGCATGGCTTAGCCTGGCAAGCTACCTGTGGTGTATTCAATATGCCAAAAACAGTAACAATGATGGGTCTCATTCTCCTGACCCTACAAGAGCCTCCAGTCATTGGGAAAGAGTAAAGAGAGACTGCTAAACTCTCAGGGCTGGGACTAATGGTGCCCGCTTGAGTAAACTGATGAACAACGTGATGACAGTGATACAGTGATACTTTCACGTTCAGCTCCGTTTGCTTCCACTCTCTAGGTAATCCCTTTCCAGAATGCTGCCCCCTCCCGCAACTTTGCCCCGAGGGGGCTCCAGGACAGGCCTCTCTCTGCTCTCCTCCCAGGACTGCCCTGCGGAGCTGCCATAGAGTGTGGCCGAGTCGTGAGCCAACACACCCGCCAGCCCGTGCTCATCCTGAAGGGAGGCTACGAGCTCTTCTCCGCCATGTACCACTTTTTCCGGACGCAGAAGATCATCTGGATGCCACAGGTGAGACTTGGGGGCTGCAAGGGAGCAGGAGGGCTCACACGGAGAAGCCGGCAGAGGAGGCCAAGGCTGGGCCAGGGGCAGTCAGGGAGTCACTCCTCTGAGGACAGACTTCTAGTCAGATGTGGCCGGAAGCAGCATGGGGTTGAAGAGGGGCTGGGGCAGAGGGCTGGCGTCTGTGACCTGGCAGGAGCGTCCTCCCACGCTTTGAGCTGACTTGTCCCACAGACTTGGGTGCAGAGGAGGCGCAGGTGAGTGGGCAGGGGCTGTGGGACCCCCATACCCCAGGGAGAAAGCCCGGCTGGGAGCAGAGCAGGGGGCAGTGCTGAGGACAGCCACCAGGTGGCAGCAATGAGCAGACAGAGCCCGTTTGCCAGGCTTGGGCTGACTGGTCTGCTGGCCTCTTTCTTTGCATTCAGATGCGCAGAAGAGATGGTGCAGTGGATAGGGGAGGACGTTTGCCTTGCATGTGACCAACCCGGGTTCCATCCCGAACATCCCATATGGTCCCAGTAGCACCACCAAGAGTGATCCGTGAGCACAGAGCCAGAAGTAACCCCTGAGTACTGCCTGGTGTGGCCCGAAAACAAGCAAATACATTTAGGTACTTTGGGAACTTGTCCTAGTCCAGGGTACAGGTGAAAGCTCCTTGCACCTCCTGCTAGCTGTTCTGTCACCTGCTCTTGTTAAGCAGGGATATCCCTACTGCTCCCCGGAGGAGGTGGGAAGCATAGATTTTTGCACAGTATGACCTTCGAGTTTTCTATTTCTTCGGTGACGTCCTGGTTCTTGGTCCAAAGCTGGTGTAGACCCTCGCCTGGGAGAGCTGGTGACGAGCCACTGACTGTGGCAAGGGCCAGGTGGAGGGGGCCAGGGCGCACCCGGAAAAGTCAGTTTGGCTCAGAGGAATAGGACGGATTTAGGGAGACGGGTGGGAGTGGAGGGGGAGGACCCGCAAGGGCAGAACAGGCACATGCGCTTTCATCAGACCCAGGGGAGCAGGGTCTCCTACCAGCCTGGTGGCGGTGCAGGCATGGTTTCAGGTTGAGGGAAATGACCTCAGCCCTGGTGCTCTCCAGACCGGGTCCTGTGAGAAGCCGGGTTGTGAGTTCACATGGCACAGGTGCTGTGAGACTTGTACATTCAATGGCCTCTCCAGAGAGCCAGAGACAGGGCCTGTTTAATGCATCCTTATAGCACATCTGAGGGGATCAGAGGTGTAGGACCGCATGTCCATGTGATTTACAAAGGTGAGACATTTCCACAGAGGAAATTCTCTGGGGAGATAAACTCAAGGAGATGCTCTGTCTCCCAGGGACATATATATTGCTTTTCTCTTTCCCTCTAGTCTTATATATCAAACAATTAACTCAAACAATCAAACAATTAAGTCAGCTTCTTTTTTTTTTAATGTAGGAGTACTGCTATTTATTGAGCCACTGATTAGCTGATTGAATTGGGCATGAACTCCACTTAAGTCAGCTTCTTATCAATACTTGCAGTTGTTTGGATAAACACAGTAAGAGATAAAGATCCCAAACTTAGTTCTCTAGGCCCTTAGTTCTCTGGGAGCGAGCAAAGATTTTACCATAAATCCCATACTAAGTCCTCAGGCCAGTTCAGCTTGTCCTTCCCCCATAGGGGTCCTGTCTCTTAAGTCATAGCAGCTTGCATAGGGATCATGCATTTATGTTTCCTAGACTGTCCCATTTTGATGCCAGGATAGCTTCGCCATTTGCCCCAGGTCCATCCCAGTCCCACGGCAGGAACTTCCTTCGGGGTGTTAGGAACTATGGCAACTGGATCCTGAATCAAGTAATTATGATGGTTGTCAGGGCTGGAGTGATAGCACAGCAGTGGGGCGTTTGCCTTGCTTGCGGCCAACATGATTCCTCCACCCCTCTCAGAGAGCCCGGCAAGCTACCGAGAGTATCTCGCCCACACGGCAAAGCCTGGCAAGGTACCCGTGACACATTCAATATGCCAAACACAGTAACAACAAGTCTCAAAATGGAGACATTACTGGGCCCCCTCGAGCAAATCGATGAACAATGGGAGGACAGTGACAGTCCGGGAGTAGATATATTTCAGAGTCAATCAACTCCCAAATATAAGGAGCACAGCATTAGTGGTCTTTCTGTGTTTAAGCAAAGAACATTACTCTAGAGTAAAATATAAAAAGACTCTAGGGGATATAGAAAAGCAAGTAATTCACTACAAATACAAAAATCCAGAGTTACCAGAAAGTTTTGGTTTATAAGAAACCAAGACTTACTTGGGGGACTGTGGCAATGAGAGGTAAAACAGAAAGGAAAGATTAAAGATAAACTCAGGGGATTAGGGATGCTCGAAAGAGCACTGTAAGCTTCTCTGGGAGGAGGATAAGGGCAATTCACTGGTGAAGCCTAAAACACTTAGGGTTAATATGCAACACCGGGGCTCTGATATCTGCTCAGAAGGGTGCCAGGATGCAGAACACGGGGCCCCGTGTGATCAGGCCGCATGCTCTTTCCTGGAACCGTCCAAACACCCAAGAGGAAGCGGGATTGGGAAAGGAGAGAGATGCTGACAGATTCACGGTGGGGTCTGGCCCACAGATGAGAACTTTCCAACGGAACTCAACGGATTTCCTCAGGCTCAGCATCTGGGGTGAGGGGCGGGCAGCCAAAGTTGGTTGGGGGGAGGGGAGGCTCTGCTGCAGCCCTGCCTGCCTGGAGCAAGGTCCCAGAACTCATTTGCAAACCTTGCGACCTGCAGGCCTGGGAAGCACGCGGGCTGGCTGTGGGCTCCTGGAGAGAACAGTGCTGAGGTCAGGGCTCGGGAGGGCAGGAGCCGACACAGCGTGGCCCAAGTCAGACCTGGAGCCAGAACCTCAGAGCGGGCTTTGGCCTCTGCAGTTCACCTGGGCCGGTGCAGGAGCGAGGGCCCGGGTCTCTGCTCAGACACATCACAGTCTGGGACTTGCTGTTGACTTTCTCTCCGGCCTGTGGTTCTGCCGAGGTTCGGTTTGACTCAACAGCACGAGGGAATTTTTAGCCTGTGCCAGGAAGAAGCAGGAAGCCAATCTTTTACTGTCTGAGTTCAGCCTCAGGAATCTGAGGGAGATTCCTGTCAGCTCTTGGCTTTGCGGGCACAGGCGGAGAATCTCAGACTGACAGGTTGTCCCTGCTGTCTGCACGTGTGTTTTTTTGTTTGTTTGTTTTTGCTTTTTGGGTCGCTCCCAGTGATCACTTGATCACTTGACTTCCCGTTAATCGTCGATTTGCTTGAACGGGCACCAGTAACGTCTCCATTTGTCCCTGTCGCGTGCTAGTGTAGCCCAATGGCATCTGTTCGCTCTAGGAACATGAAGAGCCTCAAACCGATCGTTCATGATCTTGATGAAGAAGTCTGACCATCTGGTAGGTGGGCGGCCACGCGGTCTTTTGACATTCCATGAAATCCAGTTGGTAACAGCTCTGGTCCAGCGGTGGTCTTTAAATCTCATTATGTGACCAGCCCATCTGATTTTTGATACCTTGGCAAACGAGACAGCGTCCCTGATTCTTGATCATTGACGGAGATCAGAACTCTGGATTCTTTCTTTCATTTGAGTGAAACGTGATACTCTAAGCATAGCTCTTTCAATTCCTCTTTGGGAGACCCGAATAATGTTCTCATCCTGTTTGCATAGGGCCCAGGTCTCTGAGGCATATGTTAATGCAGGAAGAACAGTGGAATCAAAGAGATGTGCCCGGAGCCAGAGGTTCTTCTTCCTCTTAGCTATTTCTTCCACATTCTTGAAGGCGTTCCAAGCCACTCTCTTCCTCCTGCGCAGCTCGGGTGCCAGGTCATTTGTCATGTTTACTTCTCGACCTAGGTACACATAGCTGTTGCATTCGGAGATGGTCGTTCCATTGAGAGCGAATGGGGCATCAGGAACGAGGCTGTTTCTCATAAACATTGTCTTCGTAAGATTCAGCTGTAGTCCGACCTTTCCACACTCACGGTTGAAGTCGGCCAGCATTTGTGCCGCTTGGCTGATGTTTGGTGTTATTAAAACAATGTCATCAGCAAAGCGGAGGTGGTGTAGTTGCCGACCATCTATCTTCACTCCCATTCCTTCCCATTCCAGTGGTCGCATGATGTTCTCGAGGGTGGCACTAAAGAGTTTCGGTGAAATGGTATCACCCTGCCGAACCCCTCTCTTGACATCAATGATTACTTCTTTTAGAATGGTGAGATCCTGGTAGTGAATCCGTAATACAGCTCATGGAGGATCTTGATGTATTGAGTTTGAATGCCCTGATTGGCTAGGGCTTCAATGACCGCTTCTGTGTCAACAGAATCAAAGGCCTTCTTTAAATCAATGAACGTTAGACAGAGCGGCACCTTGAACTCCCGAGAAACCTCAGTGAGCTTGGTTATCGTGTGGATATGGTCGATGGTGCTGAATCCTTTGCGGAACCCGGCTTGCTCGCATGGTTGTCCTTCATCTAGTGTTCTGCCGATCCTATTTAGGATGACTCGAGTGAACAACTTGTAGATGACAGACAATAGGCAGATCGGGCGATAGTTGCCAATGTCATGGATGTTTCCCAGTGATAAACAAGAGTTACTCCTGGCTCTGCACTCAGGAATTAATTACTCCTGGTGGTGTTCAGGGGACCATATGGGATGCTGGGAATCGAACCCGGGTCGGCTGCATGCAAGACAAGCACCCTACCCACTGTGCTATTGCTCCAGCCCCCATCTGCACGCTTGGTGTCCTTTGTTGATGGCGCCCGTCCTGGCTGCGTGGCTGGCAGGCTTCTGACCCTTCTTGGAACAATCACACTGTGGAGTGAGCAGCCTTGCTGAGATGGGATTGGCACATGTCCTGCAACTTAAGGACGTCCATCCTGATGGTCTGGTGCATGCAGTTACTCAGCACGCCCACACTGTTTGTTGGTGCGCTCCGAACTTTCTTAGCAATGCACAGAATTTCCTGGGCTGTACGTGAGGGTCCCAGTCTGTTCCCTTCCCTCAGCCCCCAGCAAGCCCCTTTTTACTCCACTCTTTGGGATGCGTGCATGTACTGAGGATGGAGCCCATGTGCTGAGGACGGAGCCCAGGGTCTGGTGTATGCAGGGTCAGTGCTCAGCCACTGAACTACCCACCCTCTGTGCCAGCTGCTGTGAGTTTGGCTTTGTTTCTGACTCCATGCCTGACTGAGTTTGGCGCTGGCTTTTTTTTTGCTTTTGCTTTTTGGGTCACACCCAGCGATGCTCAGGGACTATTCCTTTGCACTCAGGAATTACACCTGGTGGTGCTCAGGGGACCATATGCCAGGAATCAAACCCAGATCAGTTTCATGCAAGGCAAACGCCCTACCCACTGTGCTATCACTCCAGCTCCAGTCTGGCGCTGGCTTATTTAAGGCCCTCAAGGCTCCTCCTTGTCACTGCAGGTGGCTTGGTTTTCTTTCTCATGGTTGTAGCGGGTTCCATTGTGAGTGCATGCGTGCGCATGTGTGTGTGTTTGTGTGTGTGTGTGTGTGTTATCACATTGCTTTTGTCCATGCTGAGGGCACATTCTTTCCGCATGGTGGGTGTTGGGAAGACACTGCACAGACTTCACTTCTGGATTCTGCCCTTATTCCTTCTCTGTGTGCACCCACAGCATGGCTCATAGACCCGGTTTGTGGCATCATGTGGGAGCTTTATTTTAAATTTTGGGGCGGGGAACGGGCAGTGATGCCCAGGGCTGACTCCCAGCAGTCACTCCTGGCAGGGGCCCGGGGTGCTGGCAACCAAACCCAGGCCAGCTGTATACAAGGTAAATGCCCTCCCCACTGTACCGTCGCTCTGGCCCTGAGCCTTGGGCTTTGTGTGCGACCTGGTCCCACACAGGTATCATGGAGGCAGACCGGGATTGGGTCCGGAGGATGACCTGGTCAGCCCAGCCACTCCAGGGCAAGCTTTACCTGCCTATTTCTTTGCATGCTGGGATTCTAGTCTTCCTCACTCTTCTGAATTATCTTTCTAAGCTTATTTGATGTAACACTGTAGCACTGTCCTCCTGTTGTTCATAGGATTGCTTGAGTGGGCCCAGTAACTTCTCCATTGTAAGACTTCTTGTTACTGTGTTTGGCATATCGAATGTGTCTCGGGGAGCTTGCCAGGCTTTGCCATGTGGGCGAGATACTCTTGGTAGCTTGCCAGGCTCTCTGAGAAGGGCGGAGGAATCGAACTCGCGTTGGCCACGTCATCTATGTGCAAGGCAAACGCTCTACCGCTGTGCTATCACTCCAGCTTATTTGATGAGTCAGATTTATTTGGTTTTGGGCTCCACCTGGTGGTGCGCGGGGCTGACTCCTGGCTCTGCGCTCAGGGATCACTCCAGGTGGGACTCGGGGACCATATGGGGTGCCAGGGATTGAACCCGTGTTGGCTGCATGCAAGGCACTCACCCTACCTTCTGCAGTATTACTCCGGCCCCTGAGTCAGATTTAAAGACACACACACACACACACACACACACACATACACACACACACACACATATACACACTAAACCAGTGCCAGGATGACAGTACAGTGGGTAAGGCACTGGTCTTGCATGAAGCCAATCCATATCCGATCCCTGGCACGCCATAAGGCCCCTCGAGTCCCCAAGGAGTGAACCCTGAGTGCAGAGCTAGGAGTCAGCCCTGACACTGCTGGGTGTGGTCTAAAACAAAACAAAACAAAACAAACAAAACAAAAAAACCCCAACTAATCCATAAAACAAGAAACCCAAACCAACTTCTTCCCTGGGACTGTCAGCTGTCCCGGAAATGTGGAACACGTGCATTGAGACAGTGACCCTTCTCCGCCCCGCAGGAGCTGGACGCCTTTAAACCGTACCCTTTTGAGATCCTAGAAGGCCAGATCTACCTGGGCAACTTTGCACAAGCCTGTGACCCTCAAATCCAGAAGGATCTGAAAATCAAAGCTCACGTCAACATCTCCACAGAGTCTACGCCCTTGTGAGTAGCGCAGGCGTTGCTGCCTCCGGGCCTGGCTCCTTCCTTTCAGACTCCCGGCCCGAGCTGAGAGTTGAGGGGGCTTAGAGACAGCATGACCCCGAATAGGGGCTTCTCCACTCCCTCTGCTCCTGTCCGACGTCCTCCTCCCTGGCTTGTATCCTCTGAGCCTTGCTTTGCCTGTTTCTGTCTGAGGTCACACGCAGCCGAGCTCAGGGGTCCCTTCTGGGGGACTTGGAGAACCATGCGGGCTGCTGGGGATTGAATCCGGGCCTGCCGTGCGCAAGGCCGCGCCATCCCTACCGTGCTATTGCTCCGGGCCCCTCATGCGTCATATGGTCTAGACCCTTCGCCTCCTCATTTTTTTTTGCTTTTTTTTTGGGGGGGTCCACATCCAGTGATGCACAGGGATTACTCCTGGCGATGCTCGGGGGACCATATGGGATGCTGGGAATCAAACCCGGTTGGCTGCGCGCAAGGCAAACGCCCTACCCGCTGTGCTATCGCTCCAGCCCCTCTGTCTCCTCATTTCTCGGCCACACTCAGCTCCTGCCCCTTTGGGCTTTGGGACTCTCAGCCCCTCTTTCTGGACCGCCTTCCCTCGTCCCCACCCACCTATTTCCACAGAAGCCCCCGCAAAGCCGTCCCGGCCGCAGCCACGCCAGCCCAGCGGGTTTGCTCGCCAGATTTCCTCACCAGGTGGCTGGGTGCTGCTGCACCTGGGGTCCCCGATTCCCGAGGGGGCTGCCTGTCACCCCCCCTGCCTTGTGGCTGTGGTGCGTCCACTCCTTCCCTGGGCTTTTTCTTTTGCAGTTTTGTGGGTGACTCAGACAAGCTCCTGCACATCCAGGTGAGGGACTCCGTGGACTGCAACCTCTTTCCTTTCCTCCGTCTCCTCTGTCACTTCATTGGTAAGGCATGGCGGCCGGGTGGCAGGGCCACTCTGCCTCTTCACACTTGTGATGCTCGGGGCTCAGGAGAGATGGGCAGGAACCCCAGATATTGTATCTCAGCACCAGCCATTCTAGGGAGCCCCGGCAGGGAGGGAGGAGCAAATCCACAGAGCAGAGGAGTAGAGTGTGGGGTCAGCACCCTCAGCTAACCTGGAGAGACCTGTGTGAGCGGCTCTGGCGGTTGGGGGCCTGTATGTACCCCGTGTCTGTCATGAACGGGGGTGCTGGCCCACCGGGCGCAGAGCCCCACTCTGGGCTGGCTCTGGGGACCCCAAGATAAAGCTCACTTATCGGCCTGTTTGCTTTGTTTTGGGGCCACGCCCTGCTGTGCTCAGGGCTTACTCCTGGCCCTGAACCCAGGGGTTGCGTCTGGCAGACTCAGGGGCCCAAGTGGGGTGCCGGGAAGCGGCCCTGGGATGGTGGCATGCCAGGCAGACACCCTCCCCGCTGTCCTCATGCTCTGGCCCTTCACTTTCCTGCTCTCACCAAGAGTGATGGGTGGGAGGGGGGAGGGGGGAGAAGAGTCCAGCCTTCTTGACTCCCACTCTTCCCGGCACATGCCCCGCACCCCCATCTCCCCCCAGCCCCCAGATTACTTGCCTAGATCTAACCCCCGTAGGGCTGTTTCTGTCCCCCCGCCCCACACCAGGGTCAGGCTTGCTCAAGGGAGAATGAGGCAGGGTCATCTTCGAGGCCAGGCTCCCAGGTACTGGGCACAGTGGCTACTCTGCCTCAGAGATGGCCGCTGGGCCCGGGGCTGAGATGGAACCTTCCCTGCGTCCTTCTGCAGGGTGCCAGAGTTCCCCCCCTCACCCCCCCCCCCCCCCCCCCCGCTGGTGGTACCAAGAATCCCTCTGGGCGGCCAGTTTAGCGGCTCTGAGCTCAGGTCTGTGTCCTTAGCCGCCTGACAAGGGTTTAGCTGCTGTCAGTTGAGCCCCTCGCCCTCCCCACCACCCTCCCCTCACACCGACATGGGTGTCCCACGTGGTACATTTATCTTCTGTCCTTAGGGGTCAGGACCAGCCTGGCCTCTCCTCATTCCACGGTGCGGGATGGAATCCAGAGCCACACGACCCGGTTTGCTCACAAGCTGCGTGCGGTCCCGAGAAGGCTTTTGGGGGTTGTTTCTGTTACAGGGCCACACCTGGAGGTGCTCAGGGCTTATTCCTGGCTCTGTGCTCAACTCAGAGGACCATATGGGGTGCTGGGGATTCAGACTGGGTTGGCCCCGTGCAAGCCAAGAGCCCTGCTCCAGTCCCCTCAGAGGCTTTTTTTTGGGGGGTGGGGAAGGGGAACCACATGTGGCATTGCTCAGGAATTACTCCAGGTGGTGCTTGGGGACACTATGGCATGCTGGGGATGGAACCCGGGTGGGCTGTGTGCACGGTGAGCACCCTCCCCGCTCCGGCCCCTCAGAGGCACTTTATCTATCTATTTATTTATTATTTATTTATTTTTGCTATTTGTGTCACACCCAGCAATGCACAGGGGTTACTCCTGGCTTTGCACTCAGGAATTACTCCTGGTGGTGCTCAAGGGACCATATGGGATACCGGGAATTAAACCGGGGTCGACCACATGCAAGGCAAACGCCCTCCCTGCTGTGCTATGGCTCCCGCCCCCCAGAGGCACTTTTTTTTTTCTTTTTGGGTCACACCTGGTGATGCACAGGGGTTACTCCTGGCAGTGCTCAGGGGGCCATATGGGATGCCGGGAATCGAACCCGGGTGGGCCATGTGCAAGGCAAACACCCTCCCCTCTGTGCTATGGCTTCTGCCCCTCAGAGGCACTTTCTTTTTCTTTTTCTTTTTGGATCACACCCAGCGATGCTCAGGGGTTACTCCTGGCTTTGCACTCAGGAATCACTCCTGGCGGTGCCCCTCAGAGGCACTTTAAAGACGGAGGATTCTCTGCTTCCACCTGTGTTCACCCCCTCCCCATCCTCCTCCTGCTTCACTGTCAGTGATATGAGGGGCAGGGGCTGCACTCCCACCGGCCTGGGTACCCACCGAGCTTGCACACAGCTCCCCAGGGCTCCAGCACTTGGCAGGGTCAGCCGGGCTGGGACCTGCGCCTTGCTGGCCTCCTCAGAGGCGGCTCAGTGCGACTCAGGCACGTTGGAACCAGGTCAGACATGGTGGGGTGGGGGGTGGGGTCCCAGGCTCACCAGCAAGCTGGGCGTCTCCGTGCATTTGCTCTGGAGGAATCTTGTGTTCCCTGGAAGGTGGTTCGCTTCCTGGGCCGGAAGCCTGGAGGAGCCAAGGGAAGCTTTTGCCGGTAAGACACTGGAGAACCTGGAGAACCGAGGCCGGCTCTGTGGACGCCCTGGAGCCGAGGGGGAACGTGCCTGGAACTGGGGTGCTGGTCCCGAGCTCTAGGAGAGCTTCAGCCCTGGCTCCCCCCCGCAGAGGTTCACCTGGAGCTGGACTCCGTCGTCCTCATCTTTTCCACGCGGGGCATCAACCGCAGCTGCGCGGCCACCATCGCCTTCCTCATGCACTATCACTCGCAGTCGCTGAAGGTGTGCAGTGGGCGGGCTGGGGCCGGGGCCTTGGAAGGGCTGGCTCACCTCCTCCCTACCCCTCAGTAGGCTCCAGGGCCAGGCTGGAGGCGGGTTGCGAAGGCAGTCCCCGGGGTTAGGCTGGACAAGCCCCATCTGTGCGTCCCCTGTTGCTCTTTGTGTCTGGGGGGGCATACTGGCCACTTAGCACTGGGCTGACTGGTCCTCCAGGCCCTCAGCTCCCTCTCCCCTCCCCAGCAGAGTGCAGAGAGCAGCAGGACCCCACCCTCAGGCTGGGCCTCACACTTCCTGCCCTGCCCACACTTCAAGGCTCAGGCCTGCCCCAGGGGAGGGCGGGGAGCATGGCACAATATGGACCCAATTTCAGAGGGCTGGGGAGGGCCTGTAAGGCTCAGGACTGCAACTGAGGCCAGGGAGTGGGTCAAAGGGGCCAGTCAGCCCCCAGGCAGTAGTCAGCATTACCCAGAAGCCATCTCCCTCCCAGACAAATCAACTAACTCAGGGCCCTCTCAGAGTGCCCACCCCATGCCAGGTTGTTCAAAACTCCGTCCACTGTGGGTTGGGGTCGGATCACTGAGTGTGGGGGTCGCAGGCCTGAGAGACAGTATAAGGAGTAGGGCCTTGCACGTGGCCAACCTGGGCTCAATCCCCAGCACCCCATAGAGTCCTCCGAGCCCTGCCAAATGAGTGATCCCTGAGTGCAGGCCAGGAGTAAGCCCTGAGTCCTGCTGGGTGTGGTCCCCAAATAAAATCTGAGTGTGGGGGTCGCGGGATATCTGGCATCAGTGAGAGGCAGCTGAGGGGACCAGGACCCAAAACAAATTCAAAATCAGCTGTGTCAGGGCCAGGGCCAGAGTGGTAGTACAGCAGGTAGGGTGTTGGCCTTACACGCAGCCAACCTGGGTTCGATTCCCAGTATCCCACATGGTCCCCCCAGCACCGCCAGGAGTAATTCCTGAGTGCAGAACTGGAGTAACCCCTGAGCATTGCTGGGTGTGACCTAAAAAGAAAAAAAAATCAGCTGTGTCTGGAAGTCAGGGTTTTCTGCCGTGCTCGGCTGGGCTGCATCCCCAACTTCAGAAACACGGGTAGAGGGACCCAAGGCGGGGCCAGGGTCCGTGACTGGGGCAGAGGGTCTCCAGAGCCCCTCCTGGCTGCTGCCACCTCCTTCCAGCCCTTCAGCCTTGGTGGCTGACCCCTGGACAGATGCCTGCCTGCCCTGGAGAGCTGTCCCTGAGCCAGGTGGCCAGCCCGGTACAGCCTAACCCGTGTTCTCTGCTTGCCTCCGTGCAGAGGTCCTGGGCCTCTGTTAAGAGTTGCCAGAACAGCATGATTCTGAGCCGGAGCCTGGTGGTTCAGCTGTCGCAGTGGGAGAAGGTCGTGCTCGGGAACATCATCACAGACATCCAGGAGCCATTTTGCTGATCCCCACACTCCACCTCTGGGTGCCAGAGAAGTGACTTTGCGGTTCCCCGGGAGGCAGGGGCCAGGGGAGATGTACAGGGCGGGATAAAGCCTTTGCTGTCCTGGCCTGCATCTGCCTCCTGCCTTGGTTCTTCCCGGCACCTCGTGGTCCACACCCACAAGAGGTGTCCTCGTGGTCCGAGAGAACCCCCTGGTCATCCCCATGGCATTTCTAAGGCTGCCCCAGCGGTTCTCCTACCCCGGGCTAGTGCATCTGGGAGTGTCACAATGCCCGCCGGTGGGGATCCCCACCCCTGCCCTTGGCAGAGGCCTGGCAGCAGGCACAGAGCACACACAGTCCTGGCTGGAACTGCCACCACCACATCACTGCTTATCCCTGTCTGGCACTGTTCCCCCTGCACTCACCCAGCCCTGCTTCCTTCCCAGCGACTCTGGGTCTCTCAGGGCAGTGTCCCAATCCCTGTGCCTGAGCTGGGAGCCAGGCTGGACTCAGCGCAGCGCGGAGGGGGGGGCGACTTAGGGGCGCCCCACACAAAACCTGCCACCTGCGGGTGGGAGGGGGCTGGGCGTTGACGGCTGTCTGGTCTCAGAAGATTGCAGGGGGGTGGGGGAGTCGAGCACGCAGCGCAGAGTCCCGGAGGCCGTGGGACTTCCTGCTGAGCCGGAGCCGCGGTCAGCCGTGGACCTCCTGGCGGACAGGGAGGAGCAGCGGCGGGTGTGCCGGGCCGGGGGCCGTGACCCGGTGGGCCGCTGGGAAACTCCAGCCCGAGCGACCCTCCACCCGCGGCAGCTTTCCACGGACGAAAGTGAAGCCGAGGCTCCTGTTCTCTCCCAGCCCGACTCCCCGAGCGGTCACGGGCTGTCCTCCGCGCTCGGCACGAGCACGAGCGGCGGGGCCCGGCGGGCGCGGGGGTCGCGGGCCGCCGCGTCCCTGTCCGGACCCGAGCGACCGCCGTGCGCCGCGAAGACCCGCCCCGGCCCCGCCCTGAAGCCGGATTGGCTGCGGAGGGGGCGGGGCCAGCGCGCGCGCCGCTCCGGGCCGTCTCCCATTGGTGGGCGCGGCGGCGCGAGCCCGGAAGCGGACGGGGGCGGCGGCGGCGGCGGCGGCGGCGGCGGCGGCGGAGGGGCCTGGGGACGGCGCGGGTGGCCGTGCTGCCCTCGACTCGTGGCCGGTCCGGCGTGTGGCCCGGCAGCCATGCATCCCCCGCCCCCGGGCCCGCTGAGCGACTGCCTGCGGGACTGGGAGGAGCTGCAGCGGGACTTCCAGAGCATCCAGGTGAGCGGGCGCCGCGGCGAGTGCCCCTCGGCCCCGACCCAGGTCACCCTGGCCCAGGGTCAAGGGTTCGGGCCGCCCCGGGCCAGGCTGCAGGGGCTCTGGGGCCAGGAGACCCCTGGAGTGGCTCTCGGAACCGCGAGGACCCGGTGTCCCCTGCTGGGTCCGCCTCTCGCCCCCGGGTCGAACCTTTGCCCGCGCCCCGGGCTGGCGGGAAGGCGGCGCCCGACCCCGGCCCCGACCCGGCCCCGACCCGGCCCCTCCTGGGGGCGCAGCCCTGGCGCCGGTGGCCCGCCCGGCTCGCCCAGTCATTCGGCAAATAGCGCCGCGGGCAGCCGCGCGCCCTGGACTGGGCTGGTGTCGGACGGCCCCGGGGCCAGCAGGAAGAGAAACGCTTCGAGTGGGGGCTGGGGGCTGGGGTGGACCCGGCCTGTGGGCGAGCCAGCCGGGGACCGAGGACGTGGCTGGGAGGGGCAGCCGTGCCACAGTGCGTGGAGACCCCTCCGGGGCCAGGCACCACTCCGGCCCCCTCGGACAGGCTCCTGCTGTCCAGGCTAGCCGGGTGCCTCCTCCCCAGAGCCCAGGCAGGAGCGTCTCCTAGTCTGGCCCGGGCCCTGCGCCCTCCTCACTCACAGTGCCCCTTGCCCGCTTCCGGCCACCACTGCTCCCGGACTCAGCCACCAGGGCAAAGTGCTCCAAGGAGGCTTGGGCCAAAGGTGCAGGGGAGCTCCAAGGGTTTCAAGCTGGTGACCTTTAACCTGGGAGTGCCCCTTAGTCCCCCAGCCCCCTTGGTCAGAAGACATCTGTGACTGTCCAGATGCAGAAAGGGCAGGAGGGTGGGACATGCAGTGGAAGGGCTGAGATTGGAGAAAGGTTGTGGGGGTGTGGCGAGCAGCCCCCCAGGAACCCAGCACTCCCGTGTCCTTGCCATCCTGGGAGAGCGGGCTGCCATTCCTGCCCCTTTCTGCCTCTGACCTTCCTGAGGGGCCCCCAGCCCGTGCCTCCAGCCCGGGCTCACGGACACACCCCCGCCGTGCCTTCCCGCCTGCTCAGGAGACCCACCGGCTGTACCGCCTGAAGTTGGAGGAGCTGACCGAGCTGCAGAACAGCTGCACCGGCTCCATCGCCAGGCAGAGGAAGCGGCTGCAGGAGCTGGCCCTCGTCCTGAAGAAGTTAGGACCCCCGGGGCCCCTGCTCTGCCCCATGCCCTGCCCCCTAGGGTCCTCCACAGTGCCCATGGCTTAGTCCTCCTAGAGCCCCCTGACTGGCTCCTGTGGCCCCCTCCCCCCCCCCGCAGATGCAGACCCTCTCTTGCATCAGAGGCCGAGGCGGCCGCGAAGGAGCTGGAGAACCAGATCAAGGAACGCCAGGGGCTCTTCTTTGACATGGAGGCGTATCTGCCCAAGAAGAACGGGTGAGACCCCCCACGCCCACCTGCTTTCCCAGCGGGGCTTCCTCCTCAGGTGCTCCAGGCAGGCTGGGGGGAGGGTCGCCTGGTTGGGGGATGAGGGCCCCTGACATAGCAGCGACAGCTTCCCCTCTCCTCCATGAGCCAGTCGGGAGGGCCAGGGAAGGGGGTTGATGCCCTGGGGTGGGGCAGGGAGGTGAGAGCAGGGGCAGCCGGGGCAGAGGGACAGGCCACCTGCACTTGGATAAGCAGCTGAAGCCCAGGAGCACAGGCAGGGACAGTGCTGGGCAGGAAAAGGTCCTGCGGACCTGGGTCCTGAGAGCAGATGCAAGAGTGGAAGCAGAGGGGATGCCAGTGTGGAGCTGGCCCAGCAGCCCCTCAGGAGGGAGTGGCCAGAGACCCCTCCCCAGGACCCTTGGGGAGGGGCCGTCGGTGCTGGGGGACAGGCCCTGGGAGAACAGCCACGGCTGGCCGCTCTCGCACTGGGCTCTGAGCGCAGAGATGTGGGAACTGGCACTTGGCATTGGGGTCCAGGGGCTGATGGTCACTTCTGCTGGGAAGACTGGTGGAGTCAGGTCAGGGGGGCCAGAGAGACAGGCCGGAGGAGGGAGCCCGGGCTGGGTGGGAGCCGTCACGGTGCTGGGGACGGAGCCTGGGGGAGAGCTGTTGGCTGTGCAGGGACTGTGGCTGGGTGGCCGCGGCCCAGGGCTCAGGCTGAACCGGAAGCCAAGTACAGCCCTGTCCACGCCGCCGGTGGCTTCCTGGGCCTCGGGGAGTGGCTGCCAGAGAAGCTGGGGGCGAGCCGAGAGGTGGCTGTGATGGCGGGCCGTGGTGGTGGTGGTGGGTGTGTGTGAGTGTGTGTGCGCACGCATGGACAAGTGGCTGGAGATGGGCTGTGGTGGTCCTGGCGCTGGGGGTAGCGAGTGGGGTGGGCGGTTGCCGTGGGATTGGTGGTGCCCAGCTCTGCAGGGGTGAGGGGAGAGCCAGCTCCCTGTGGGGTCCTGATGTGTGGGGAGGGGGCTTGAGGCAGAATGGGGAACTGGAGGGAGGGGTTGGTTTGCTGGTGCGGAAGTGGGGGAGCAGGCGGGGGACAGGGTCAGGTGGACGCCGGCTCATCTGTGCCCCCCTCCCCCGACCCCAGGTTGTACCTGAGCCTGGTTTTGGGCAACATCAACGTGACGCTCCTGAGCAAGCAGGCCAAGTGAGTGGGGGTGCCCCGTCCAAGCCCCCCCACGCCTCGGGGTGCTGGGGTTGCTCTCAGAAGCAAAAGCCCATGGTGGGGTGGAGGTTGGTTGAGGGGGTTCCCACTGGCCCCCATTCTGCCCACATCTGCCCACCCAGGTTTGCTTACAAAGATGAGTACGAGAAGTTCAAGCTCTACCTCACCATCATCCTCATCCTCATCTCTTTCACCTGCCGCTTCCTCCTTAATTCCAGGTGAGCCCGGCGCGGTTCGGGGTGGACCCTGCACCTGGTCCAGGCCCCTGAGCACCCACTCTCTGTACCCGCCCCCGCAGGGTAACAGATGCTACCTTCAACTTCCTGCTCGTGTGGTATTACTGCACCCTGACCATCCGGGAGAGCATTCTTATCAATAATGGCTCCAGGTGTGAGCGCAGGGGGCCAGCTTCAGGGGGCGGGGTGGGAGCCGAGCCCGCACCCCTAGAGGCGCCCAGAGGGTGGGCGTGGCCTCTGGGAAGCAGGAAAGGGGCGGGTCTGCTGCTTCCCACCTCGGCCCCACCCCCAGCCCTGTCAGCACCCCAGGGGCCAGAAGTGACCGTCCTTCCTGATACAGGATCAAAGGCTGGTGGGTCTTCCATCATTACGTGTCCACGTTCTTGTCCGGAGTCATGCTGACATGGTGAGCAGCTGGGCCTTGGATGGGGGATTTGGCCGGGGGAGGGCAACGCACCCACCTCGCTCTGCCTTCTGCCTCAGGCCCGATGGTCTCATGTACCAGAAGTTCCGGAACCAGTTTCTGTCCTTCTCCATGTACCAGAGTGAGAGCCTTGGGGGTCTGGGTGGTGAGGGGGGCCTGTGGTGGGTCTGACTCAGTGACTCGGCCATCCCCTCCCCGCCTCCCACTTCCCCAGGTTTTGTGCAATTCCTGCAGTACTACTACCAGAGCGGCTGTCTCTACCGCCTGCGGGCCCTGGGCCAGCGGCACACCATGGATCTGACCGTGGGTGAGTCAGGGCACCCTGGGGCTGGCCAGATGCGGTTGTGCCCCTTGCCCCGTCTTACCCTTGCCCACCTGTCCACCCCCCCACCCCCCGCAGAGGGCTTCCAGTCGTGGATGTGGCGAGGCCTCACCTTCCTGCTGCCCTTTCTCTTCTTCGGACATGTGAGTTGGCGCTGGGCCCCTCCCGTTGGACCTCCACCTCCCCCCAGGTCTGGCCCCATCCCGTGTAACGTCCACCTCCCCCCCCCAGTTCTGGCAGCTTTTTAACGCCCTGACGTTGTTCAACCTGGCCCGGGACCCCGAGTGCAAGGAGTGGCAGGTGAGCCATCGCCCCCGGGGGGAGCACTGGGGGACCCGTAGCCGAGTCTCACCCCCGATCTCCTCCCCCAGGTGCTCATGTGCGGCTTCCCCTTCCTGCTCCTCTTCCTCGGGAACTTCTTCACCACACTGCGGGTCGTGCACCAGAAGTTCCATAGCCAGCGGCACGGCAGCAAGACGGACTGAGCCCCCTGCTGAGTGCTGGGGCTCCCCTCGTCCAGGCGGCTCCCCGGGGGTTGGGGATGAGCCGGCCTGTGTCCCCAGGCCGCGCGGGGAGCGGAAGGCGGAGGCCTCAATAAAGAGAGAGGACGGGATGCCTCGTGTGTGCTCTCCTGAGGGAGGGGTCTGGTCCCCAAGACTGCGGACTCAGGGGTACCCCAGATCTCCTGGGCAGTAACCAGACGAGTACAGAAAACAGAAGTTTATTCCAAGGGCCAAAGGTTATTTAAAATTATTTACACTCATTGAAAATCATTGGAGGGGGCCGGGCCCCAGCTCAGCTGAGAGTCAAACCTCGAGCGGCCGTGGGGGAGTGAGGTGGCCGCCAAGCAGGGGCCACTTGGTGTGGCCCTGTGCCCTGGGGGCTCCAGTGGCACCTCCTGGAGGAGTCTCTGTCACCGGGCGACCCCCGGATGCTGGCAGGAGGGCGCGAGGAAAAGACAATTATACGGGTGGGCAAGCGAGTCTGTGGGGCAGGCGGGCGCGGGCCTAGCTCCAGACGTCCAGGGAGTAGCGGCCCTTGGTCATCAGCTTCTTGATGTAGTCCACGGCCTGGGCGTGCTCCATGGCCCCCAGCTCGGCCACCATGTCGTAGAAGGTGTTTTGCACATCCTTGGCCATGTTCCGGGCATCCCTGTAGCAGGAAGGAGGTGACACCGGGGACCAGACCCGACGGGGTGCCCCTTGCCTCCCTCCAGCCACACAGACGGGGCGCCCGGCACCTGCTCACCCCTGCCCAGCCCTGGCACCCAGACGGGGCACCCGCCTGCTCACCCGCACACGTAGATGTGGGCACCGTCCTCGTGGATCAGTTTCCACAAATGCTCCTTGTCCTTCTTGAGCAGGTGCTGGACGTAAACCTGGGTGGGGCAGTACCCGTGAGCAGGGGTCCTGGAGCCACCCTGCCCCCCGCCCGGCCCCGCCAGCAGCGGTGCCCTCACCTTCTGGGGCTGCTCCCGGGAGAAGGCCACGCTGAGGCGGCTGAGGGCGCCATCCTTGTGAAACTGGGCCAGTTCGTCGCGGTACAGGTAGTCTTCATCCGAGCGGCGGCAGCCGTAGTACAGCAGGGTCTCCCCGACTTCCTTACCTGCAGGGCCGTGGGCTGGGGTGAGCGAGGGGCCTGGCCAGGCCTCCCCCAGGTGCCCCCCCGCCCAGCCCACGGCCCCCACTCACCCTGCTGCTTCAGCCAGCCCCGCTCCTGGATGAAGCCCATGAAGGGGGCCACGCCGGTGCCAGGGCCCACCATGATCACGGGCGTGGTGGCCTTGAAGGGCAGGCGGAACTGGGACTTGCGCACGAACATGGGCACCAGGGCCCGGCGCCCGTTGTCCCCCGCGGGGTCCTTGGTCCGAAGCCAGCTGGTGGCCACGCCCTTGTTGACACGACCGGCCTTGGTCTCGTACTCCACGGCCACGGCGCAGATGTGCACGGAGTTGGGGTGGACCTGGGAGGCGGGGAGAACCCGTCACTGGAGCCACGGCCACCTGCGGGCATGTGCTGGGCCCCGCCCCACCCCGCGCCGGGCTTGGGCTGGGCCCACCTTGGAGGAGGAGGCGATGGAATAGTAGCGGGCCTGCAGGCGCGGCAGCAGCTCGCACAGGTGGTCGATGGGGGGCCGCAGGGACGGGTAGTCCTGCAGGATGGCCAGGATGTGGCGCCGGGCCTCCACCACCCAGTTCAGGTACAGCTCCTGGGGAGAGAAGGGGCTGAGTGGGGCGGGGGGCAGGACCGCGTGGGGGTGCGGGGGGGGGGCTGGGAGGGCCACCCACCTTGCCCTCGCCCGAGGACGAGGCCATCTTCCGCAGCTGCTCCTGCTCGGCCGGCTCGGTCGCGTACTGCGCCAGCTCGTATAGCACGTTGGTGCGTGGCGGGTTGGTGATGTCCAGGTAGTAGGTGAGGGCCGTGCGGTAGGTGGTCGGGCAGGGGAAGGGGTGCTTCTTGTTGGACTCCTCTGGGGGGAGGGAGGTAGGCAGGAGGGGGCTCAGCAGGGGGCCCTGGAGTCAGGGCTCTCGGGGGCCCAGGCCTGGGAGGGTCCCCAGAGGCCTTACTTCGGGGCAGTGTCGAAGAACCGTCCGGCCCTGCAGTGCCGTCTGAGGGGCCCCACGAGGCGGGGACAGGTGGGGAGCACTGTGCCTGAGCCTCCTGGAGCCCCCAGCAGAGGCCGCATGCGCATGGCCACTGTACCCCGCTGCACCCCACAAGGCAGTGCTGGGCCCAGACTAAAGGGGGGGTTCATGGCTCGTGAGGCCAGAGGAGACTGCTTGGTTCCTGAGCACTGTGCTGCTGAGGTGGGGGCACAGACCCCTCCCCTGCGGCTTCCCCAGACCCCCCGCCTCCTCCAGGCCAGGTCTAGAGGCTCCGTTTGCTCCAGCACCTGAGGTGGGTCCTGCTGGACAGCCTCCAGGACACCTGGGGAGCCAAGGGGTCCAAGACCTAGCGGGGGTGGGTGGGAGGCGATGGCTGTGGGGGGCTCACCATCTAGGTTGTTCAGGGACATGACGACGTCCAGGTCAGCCCCCAGGATCTCGCCAAGCTGCTGGACCAGGGCAGAGTCGTTGGCCGGGTACACGGCTACGTGGTCGCCAGACTCATACCTGGAGGGGGAGAGGCAGGGGTCAGGGGTGGAGGCGTGGGGGACCGCCGGTGGGGTCAGCCAGGGACGGGGCGCACCTGATCTTGGAGTCCGAGATGTCCAGTTCCAGGTGCATGAGGTGGCGCTCCCCGCCCTGGTTCAGCTTCCGGTTGATGGTGACGGCGGCCAGGAAGGGGTTCTTGGCATCAAAGGGGCTGCAGGGGACGGTCAGGTCAGTGGCTGCCGGTGCCCTTCTGGTCACACACACCGGGCACCCTGGAGCTGGCCTTGGTGGCCACGAAGACACGGCAGTAGCCAGAGGGGCTCCCCAGACCCCCCCAGGGCGGGCAGAGCTGGCACTCTGGCCCCTCGCACAGATGCCAGGAGGCCCGAACATAGTGAGGGCACTGGGCCCTGGACAGGCTGCAGCATGCCGGCTCCCCAAAGGCCACAGACTGAGCAGGTTTCAGGGAGCCTTTGGCCAAAGTTCTGCAGCTCCACCCTGGCACAGGCCAGTCTCTGGCTGGCGTCCACGGGGCCACACACAGGGCAGCGTCTCTTCCTGCCATGCAGCAGAGAAGAGACCGGGGTCCCAGGGTGTAGCCCGCACTCACGGCTTCTGGTTCTCGTAGCTCTTCAAGCGTCCCATCTCGCCCGTGTAGACCTTGGCCGCGTCCATGTCCGTGTGGACCACCAGCTCATACTGACGGATGCTGCAGAGGGGGGTGGGAGGTGAGGAGGGAGGAGGTGCCTGTCCCCACTCCCCCACCCTGTCCCCCTCTCCCCTGCACATGCACTCACCTGGCCTCGTCACCCGTGGCCTCCACCCCAAAGTGCTCGCACACGGCCGGCCAGAACTGCTCCCGCCACGTGATGAAGTCCTCCTCCAGGCTGTGGGTAAGGGGGCGGGGGACAGTGAGCCAAGCCCCCAGGCCTGCTCACCGCTCTCCCTGAGCTCAGACAGGAAACGTCTCAAATGTGTGCAGAGATTTGGAGCGGAGTCGGGGCTGAGTGTGTGTGTGTGTGTGTGTGTGTGTGTGTGTGAAGGCTGCGGGTGGTGGGGCCCTGACACTTGCCGTCATCATAGCCCCATCACCCGTGTGTGTGTGTGTGTGTGTGTGTGTGTGTGTGTGTGTGTGTAAAGGCCTCGGATGGCAGGGCACCGACACTCACTTGCCGTCGTCATCGCCCAGGCCCAGCTCGTAGATGCGCCGGGCGCCCAGCTGCTCCAGCCGGCTGTCCACGTACTTGCCCATGGCGTTGAAGTGCTCGTAGGTCTTGTTCCCCAGGCCGAACACCTGTGTGGGCAGGGGGCCGCTTGTGAGCTGGCCGGGGGGGCGGGCTCCCACCAGGCAACCCCTGTCCAGCCACTTGCTGCTGGACATGTCTGAGGTGACTGGGCAGGTGCCCATAGTGGACCAGTGCAGGTGACCTGGAGCCACTCCGTGCTGGCCGGGTGGTCAGCTGAGGAGGCCTTGGCACCAGGCTCAGTCTGCAGAGCCGCATCCGGACCCTTGCCCACTGGGTGGAGATGCAAAGAGCCGGACACTTGCCTCCAGTTCCAGGGCCCGGGTTCAGGGGACTCACCGCATACTTGACCCCTGACAGGTCCACGTCCGCCTCCTGCAGCCAGTCGTAGAAGTCCTGGGCGTTGTCCGTCGGGTCCCCCTCGCCGTAGGTGGCCATGCAGAACACGGCCAGTGAGTTCTCAATCTCAGCCAGGCTGCTCAGGTCGGCCTGGGGGCAGTGTGGGCCCAGCCAGTGAGTGAGATGCCCTTCGGACAGCTCCCTACCTCCCCAGGGCCTGGGGGCAGGGCACTGGCCTCCGAGGGCTGGGTCTGGCAGGCGCAGAGGGGCAGGACCGGGGCAGCAGCCCTCAGACCCTGCACCCTGCACGGGACCACCCCACAGCGTCCTGGGGTGCACACGGGGGCCCTCAAGGATGGCCCAGTGCTTGGACAGATCTGGGGCCGGCGAGCTCACCAGGTCATACTCCTCGGGGTCTGCGGCCATGCCCCGCATTCCGTAGCGGTGCGCATCCTTGGACAGGCGGTTGGCAAACTCCTCAGCAGTTCCCGTCTGGGAGCCGTAGAACACGATGATGTTCCTGCCCTGGGAAGCCAGACATGGGGGTCAGCAAAGGCTAGAGAGGGGCAGAGACGGCCAGCAAGGGGCAGTCTCAGGCTCCCCCTGCACTGTCCTGCCAGCCTTAGGGTCTACTTCCTTGGGGCCAGGGGCTCCCTGCAGCCAGGTCCGCTGCATTTGGAGGGGCGCCTCCCTGGCAGTGCTCCTGGGGGGAGACCTGGAGGCTCAGGGCACAGAGGATGGGCTCAGGTCTGCGCATGCTCCTGTCTGGATGTCGAGTGTCTTTGTGTCAAAGTTTAGAAGATACTCAGCCAAAGGAGAAAGACCAGAGAAAAACAAACCCAGGGTCCCTGAATGGGCAATTAAGGGTGAGTTTTTCTGGCCAATTCTGCCACTGCAGTGCGTTCTGGGCAGTTCCTACCACCTGCACTGTTTCCGCCTGTTCCAGGAACTTCCCTGGCAGCTACCAAGAAGCCCAAACCATTCCCCGGACCCCTAGTCGCCTCTGACGCGGGCACCCGGTGAGCGGTGCGAGACATCCGCATGGAGCCGTTTCCTGCACTTGCTCCTCCCGTCGCCCCACCAGCTCTCAGATCTTTCAGAGTTCCTGAAGATCTTAAAAATGTCAATTATGCTCCCTCTGAAATGGGGCCACACCTGGCAGTGCTCAGGGATCACTTTCAGCGGAGTGCTGGGCTTGGGGGACCCCCTCTAGCAGGGACTGATCCCGGGTAAGCCATGCCCAAGGCAAGCACCTCTCTGCCATCTCTCCAGCCCCGAAGATCACTTCTCAACCATCAAAGCATTGGCAAATGATCAGTGAACTGCTCCTACCAGATGGAGGAGGAAAAGGACACAGAGAAGGAGCTTGCTAGCTCCGGGGGCCCTACTTCTGCACAGAAGCATCTGCCCCATGGTGAGGTGGGGGGATTCTCTTCAGGGCAAGACAAGAGCACGGCTCGGTCCCCAGAAGCCCCCTAACGGCCACACAGTCCCTGGAGCATCCATGGACACAACTCTTCTCTTTTTTGCATTTTGGGTCACACCAGCAATGCTCAGGGTTTACTCCTGGCTCTGCACTCAGGAATTACTCCTGGCAGTGCTTGAAGGGACCATTTGGGATGCCAGGGATCAAACCCGCGTGCAAGGCAAATGCCCTACCCACTGTGCTACTGCTCCGGCCCCTGGACACTGGAGCTGTGCTGCAACCTGGGGCTCTCAGTTGGCACTTCTGAGTCAAGAGCTGCTAGGAAGGTGCCCCTCCCTCCAAACAATCCCCAAACCCCACATGTAAAGTGGGGGGATAGTACAGCAGGCAGGGCCCTGGCCGTGCAAACAGTTGAATAGGGCTTGATCCCAGGCATCCCACCTGGTTCTGAGCCCCGCCAGGAGTGATCCCTGAGCACCAAGCCCTGAGCACTGCTGAGTGTTACTCAAAAAGCAAAGCCAAAAAAATAAATAAATAAATAAATAAAGAATCTGCTATTTTGGGGAGGACACAGACATAAAATGGCTCTAGAACTCTCCATACCAGCCCTAAATGGCAGGAACAGGGAGAGACGCCCCAGGGCTAGGGATTCACCCAGGAGGACTGAGTATCTCTCAGCCAGCACTGGACACAGTCCGCTGGTGAGCTGGCTCTCCAGGGACGGCTGCGCCCTGGCCCTGCTGCAGAGGTCACCCCAGTGTGCAGCTGATCCAAGCAGGGGGAGGGAGCCTCTATTCCTGTCTCGGGCCGCTGGCCGGGCAGCCGGAAACTCACCGTCTTCTTCATCTTCTCCACGAAGCTGCTGTCCTTGGCAGAGGTGGACCTGCAAAACAGGCGCGCAGCTGGTGAGGGGACCACAGGCTCCTTCTGTACATCAAACATGCAAAAGCTTGCACGGATCCCACCCCCCCCCGCCCCCCTCCCTCCCCTTCCCATCACTTCGCTGCCCACATCGCGGCTGGGAGGCCCCTCAGCGGCCCATCCCCACCCCTCACCCCTGAATGACGGCACCCAGGACCCAAGAAGGGTGCACGAGTTCCATCGGAATCTGCACCCCCAACACCTGCAACCGACACGCCCTCCTGGCGGGCCCCTGGGGGTCCTGTCAAAAACTCCACTCACTGCCCACCCAGCAGGCACCCCTGTTCCCCTAAAGCCCCTCTAGCACAGCCAGTGCCCCCGCCTTCCACGGGGCCCCACCACTCTGTTCCCGCTCTGGCCCTGGCACTTTCCAGAGCCCCCCCAAAGTATGGCACCCGCCCGCTACCCACCCCACCCCATCCTCCGGCCCTCCCAGAGCACGGCTGGGGTTCTCCGCTCAGAGCCAGGGCGGGGCTGCGGGCCTTCCTTGGCATGGCCCTTGGGACACGGTAGTTTTCAGGTCTGCTACGGGCGAGCATCGCATGAGGTTCCAGGGCACGAGAGAACACGAGTTTGATCCCTGCAAGATTTCTCAAGCCCCACTGGGTGTGGCCTCCAGACAACAAACTCAAGTACAATAAAACTAAGGGAAAACGGCAAGGCCAGGAAGGGGCCGGAAGGCCAGCCCAGAGTTGGCGGTGAGGGGGGGTGGGAATAACATCTGGGTACAGGAGTGGCAATGATCAGCAAGGCGTTATCCCGCAGAGTAGGCTGCCCAAAGGCCAATGGGCACCACCAAGGAGAGCAGGAAGCGGAGGAGAGTGGAGAGGCCACCCGCCAGGGGCAGACGTGACCGTTTCCCACCTCCTCCCACGTCTGCTCAACTGGCAGTGAACCCTCCGCAGAGGAGGAAGATTGTCTGCAACGATGCAGGCTGGCCCAGCAGCCAGCGGAAGGCCAGAGCGAGGGGGTGTGGTGGCCGCCGAGACATCTGTTGAGCCACGTCATCTCCAGCATGAAAAGGATGGTTGGTCAGTTTGCAAGGGTGCAGCAATGCAAAGGTTTAAAGACGTGAAGCAGCGGACCCATCACGGGGCGACCCAATCACGGGCAACCCCAGTCACGGGCAACCCCAGTCATGGGTGACCCAGTCACAGGGCACACACAGCTCACATGAGAGAAGCTGCAATTCTGTGTGTCCCAGGATGGGTCGGGCAGGTGGACTGGGCTGTGGGGCTTTTCCTTGCTTCCTTTCCCCACGGATGTTTATGACATGCCTGGCCCTCGGTTCCCTACAGGAAACACACAACACTTCTCAGTAAGAACAGACACTGAAGACAGAAATCAGCGGGGCAGTACAGCAGGGAGGGTGCTCGACTTGCAGGCAGCCAACTGGGGTTTGGTCCCTGCTCCCTGGGGTCCCACAGGGTCCCCCAAGCACTGTCAGGCGTGATTCCCGAGTGCAGAACCAGGAGTAACCTCTGAGCACCACCAGGTGTGGTCCAAAATTAAACCAACAGAAAAGGAAATTGTTCTTATTTCTAATTGAGAATTTCATAGTTCTACCCAGCTGTGCTCAGGGGCTGTGCCCTGCTGGTATGTGGGGAGCCAGGCAGTACCAGGCCTAGAATTTGGTGCCAGGCCGATGCTCTGGTACTTGGGCCCTGCGCCTTTATGTTGGGGGCCCAGAGACAGAGCCCTGGAGTGAAGGTGCTGGCCTTGCACTGGGCAGACCCTAGTTCCATCCCCAGGATCCGATATGGTCCCCCTAGCACCGCCAGGAGCAATCCCTGAGCCGAGCCAAGGTGTGGCCCAGGCCCCACTCTACCCCACAACACACACACACGCATGGATGGATGTGGCAGCACAGAGAAGGTCCTCTGAAGAGGAAGAAAGGACCCCCCACAGCCTAGCCCGCACCCAGTCCAGCATGTCCCTGGCTCCTTCCAGCCTTTCTCCCGAAGGTCCTTCCTCCTTCCCATGAACTCCTACCTATCCCTCAAGACACCACATAAAATGCCCTATCAGAGCGCCGGCCCTTCCCCCAAACACTGGGTCACTGGGCAAGTGAGCATGGAGGCATCTGCCTCTTCTCACCAGCAGAGAAGCAACATCTAGAGGTGGCTTCAAGGCCTGGCTGACGAAAAGGACAGGCACATGCTATGGCCAGCAGTGGCCCGCAGAAACACAGGTGTTGGGACTCACAGGTGGGGCCACTGGGGACACACACCATGAGCAACAACTGGGGGTCCTGTCTGGGTCATGCCTAGGTTCTGCCCCCAATCAGCCTGAGACTGAAAAGGGCACTTCAGAATCCTAGGCCCCCACATGCTCCTGGGTCCCCAACAGCTGCGGTAAAGAAGCATCTTTCCCTGCAAGAAGGATGCGCCCGGGACCCCCTGTGGCTCCAGGGGCAGGGGCTGAGGCCACAGGATGGATAGGAGAAGACCCGCCCGGGGTTCCAGAGGGACCAGAGCACAGAGTGTACAGAACAGCCCCTCAGAGAGAAGGCGAGTGGAGAGAGACCCCGAGGAACAGGGGAGGCACAGCTCTATGGTGGTGCCAGGTGAGGGTCCCACTGGCCTCCCGGGGGAGAGCAACCCCATAGGCCTGGCGAGCCCCCTACCCAGAGGAAGGGCCTCTTGCGGCCTCAGGAAAGGAGGTGGCCACTCCTCGTGGCCTGGGACAGTGTCTAGAGATCCAGGCAGAGGAGGGTCCCTCAGTGGGAAGGAAAATGGGGAGTCGAGGGGAGCCTTCAGCTTCCAGTTCCAGCCCCCCAACGTGCAGCTTCTCGATGTCCCGGCCCTGGAGGGGGACACAGTGCCTTCCCGCTCCGCCCCCTGCCACCCGTCTGTGGTTCGGGGCACCCAGTGCCCAGCACTGACCTTCTCAGGGGGAGCTCGTCCCGTGGAGAGGAGTATGTGCACCCCATGGCCCTCACTGCCCACACCAGCTCTAGGGGAGGGGCCGGGGGGCAGCAGCTGGGAAGTGGGGGGCTCCGTCCATCCTCCACGCGTGGTGCCCCGGCCACCCGCAGCCCCTCACACGCTCTGCGGCCGAGAACCAGCAACATCTGGGCAGTCCAGGCTGGCTGCTCCCGTGATCCCTTGCGTGTGGGCGCACCCCGCCCCCGCCGTATGGACCAGGACTGAGCGGCCTCTCCAGCCCCACTGGGTCTCCTTGGCAACTGTCTCGGCCCTCGCCCTGCCCCCGCAAGCCGGGGAGGAAGTGAGGGACAGCTGAATGGCTCGGGCCGCGGTGCTCCCGCGTTGCTGGGGGACCCCCTCTCCTCGGGGCAGGAGTGGGGGCGGTGGAGAGATTCCCTCTGAACAGAAAACCCCCCTCCAAGGCATCTGCGCACGCGGCCCCTCGGCAGCTGCCCAGGCCGTGCTCCTGCGGGCAGCACAAAAGGTTCCAATTAGGGCTCCGGCTGCTAACAGGGAGTGGAGCGGGCGCAGGCGGCCTGGGCTAGGGAGGCGTCTGCTGCTGAGTCACGCTGAGACGGGGCCAGTCGCTTGGCTGCTGCCCCAGGCCAGGCCACAGGCAGGAGTTCTGGGAACAACCTCAACTTCCTTATCTGCACAGGGCACCTCTGCACCCCACTCCAGGTGACCCTTCCCACCCCAGGGTCATGGGCACCCAGATTGAGAGAGAGAGAGAGAGAGAGAGAGAGAGAGAGAGAGAGAATGTGACTCCCCAGGCTGGTCCAGACCTGGCCAGGTGTATGTGTGTGTGTGTGTGTTTGTGTGTGTATGTGTGTTTGTGTGTCTCCCCAGGCTGGTCCAGAGCTGTGGGCTGGGCAAAGCCACCTTCAGTGGGGACCGAGTGCTTGGCTAGACCAAGTGAGAAGTGGCAGGTCTGTCCCCCCGCCCCCCACCCCGGCCAGCAGGGATGCTTTACAGGCCTGGCTCTGTGGGTGAGATCGAGCAAGGCCTTGCAGCAAGGCAGGTGAAGGGCTCTATGGGAGAAAGGCAGGGGTGAGGGAGGCCGGTCAGAGAAAGAAGGCAGAGCCGCTCACTGGGCACTGTTGCCCAATGTCCACGGCTCAGCACCTGGCAGGGTCCCACCTGGCACCCGCTGTACACGGGTCACTGCCACAGTCAAGGTCCCTTCTTTCCGCTTTGACAAGCTCTGCGCACAAAGCCCTCTCAGGCGTGTCCCTCACAGAGCCGTGGCCTGGGCAAGCTGACCGCCTCTGCCTGACGCCGGGGGTCCTTGGGGCCATCACAGAGCATCTCTCTGCCCAGGCCTGCCACCAGGGGTGGGTTCTGAGGCACAGGCGTGCTGCCCACCTGGGCCCCAGAAACAGCCTCGGAGGCATCGTCACCACGTGAGCCTTGCAGTGGCCCCTCAGCCCAGCAGGTGTGAGGGGACTGGGTGAGACGCCCTGTGTCTGAGCAGTCCCCACCACACATCCTCCTGCCTCCACCCCGAAGTTCTCAGTGTTCACCCTCCGGGTGAGGGACACAAACTGATCCCTGCAGCTGGCTCCTACCCTTTCCCGTGTGGCCCTGGGGGCCCAGTACCCAGGTCATTCAGTGTGCCAGTGACTGCGACAACAGACCCGAAGTCTGACACCCACGCCCAGTTTCCTTGCAAGCCTGGACAAATCCAGGTTCTGCTCGGGGACCCTGTGCGTCTCTGGGGGTCCAGTGGGCGGGGGACCTCAATGGTGGGGTGCCCCCTCCGCCCTCCCAGTGCCCCCCTCCACCCTCACACCTGCAGCGTGCCTTGAGCTGGAGTCATGAGGTCCTGAGGTTGCCAGTGGGGTTTGGGGCAGCACCCGTCCCAGCAGACAGACAGACAGACAGACAGATGGCAGGCAAAGGCCCTCCTAGGTCGAACCAGGGGGAGCAGAAAACACAGACCCGGCACAGCGTGTGGCTCCCCTCGCCCCAGCCACGTAGCTGCCGGGCCCCCGAGCTGCAAGTAGACCCGCTCAGAGGCCAGCTGGGGGCCCCC